AACAGGAATTACAAACGATAGCTGGCTTTTTAATACATCTATGGGTCAGGTATACTTTCCGCACGTTCTATTACGCATCTGTTTGCTCTACTTGCCACTTCCTTGTCCTTTCTCTTGTGTCTTAAACCTATAGCTAAGACAGCCTTGATGACGGAAAACAGATGCCATGGAATTAAATCTTAATAAATAATTTTGATTTTGAAGTCGTCAGTACCGTTAACTAGTCTAGAATGCACACTCGAGGCTTAGAAAACCCAATACCTCATTACTGCAGTGTAGGACAGTTGGGGACCATAGTCACAAGAGAGGGGGGTTTTGCAGAATGCGGTCCATGGTTGGAGGTTTGTTTAACGTTCTGAGAGGATGCAAGGGTAATAGGGGGTTCAGCAATCCGGTTTTCAATCCCACTGGGTAATTTTGGCTGATTTTGAAGTCATAATGGCAGTATGTTTTGGGCGCCTATGATATTGATTGGTGAAGCAGATATTCGAGGAACGAATCAATTATTGTTGCTGTTTCATGCGTCTTTGAATATGCCTTCCGTGTTTCCTAAACGGACAGCAAATTTTGTTGCTTTTGACCAAAATGGGGCCACACTGACGCATGAAGAAGTAGGTACAGCTGAAACCGATTTATCTTCCTCTCCGTGCAAATCCGAACATTTTACACTATCAGGACACGCTAAAGACTGTGGTTGTCGACTGACCGTTTATCTCTGTCCTCCTCGACACATTGACGAAACTGTTTCTGAATATAATTTTAATCGCACTTGATTGATTGTGGGATCCGAAACCCCCTTACAGATAGATTTAGGGACCAGTTCGTGGGGCTGCTAAGCCTTGTCGGCCACTGCGTCTGCACTCTTTTTCAGCCGTCTGGATATGGTTTCGCCGCTACAACACAGTGGTTCTGAAAAGAGCGAAATGCTATGGACGCAGCAAACGTCTGTCTCGCCATGACCACAGTGGCGCGCAGATCACAACTCCATCCACTTTAGTGGTAGACTTCCTCAGCGATAGACTTCATAATTTGCTTCACCGAATGTTCATGCACGACCATGAAGATATGCATGCCATTCTTGCGTCTGTACCAAGAGGTGGACACATTTTTATCGGGAGTCGGGTACCCCATCAGGTGCGGGCCACGCCACTGGGAACAGCAGTGAACCCCCGCACAGGACAAAGCCCCCTTATCACCAGTACCATATTTTGGTTTTTCAGTCTTGACAAGACAACGTGAATGCGCTCTAGGTTTCGCCGATGGCAAGTCCATCGTGATCGCTTTGGCGTACCTATGACACAGGTGAGGCGTATTGTCTAATGCTGGACCCTTTACTGGTTACAAAATTTTATCGTCTATTCAACCGCGATGACAGACACAAGGAAATAGGGCACTTAGGCATTTGAACACTACAGCACGTTACCCGGCAGACAAGAACCTATCAATAAATTCGCTGTCATACTGTAGCAGATGCAAGTCTTGGAAGTAAGGGATAACGTTGAGAGCAACTAAGGGAGACTGAATTATGTCGGTACTGAAGTCATCCGGTTCTTCATACTGAAAAAAAGAACAAGTTCGTTCGAGCACAGAAAAGACATTAATTGGGTCTCCTAGGAAAATAGTCTACATACTTACGTGCATGTACTTGATACGACTGTGACCATGCCTGATCCAGCCGGCCTGGATTATGTCACCTATTGTATTTCTGCATTCGTGAGGATTTGCGGCAGCGGATCTGGAAAGCCCGACCTACCCTCTTCTCCAATGACGGAGCCCGAATGTCTAAGGTCAAATAATCGTTTCCATGTTGGAAAAAAACTGTTTCGAGTCAGGTCTTGAGTTGGCCTCTTCTACGCCTCCAGGAGGGTAATGGCGCAGGATTAAGGGTAGTTTAAATGAGCTCGTGAGGTGGACTGTGGAGAACGTGTTCAAACCGCCCCAATTGTCTTTCTTGGATGGCCTGAAATATCCTCGTGATATTCTAGCAGGGAGTGCGGACTGCGTCAATTGGAGACGAAGTCAAAGAATGATCCTTAGACAGTTTAGTTAAACATCCACATAGAACCTACTCGACAACAGCATAGGTTCAAATAAGGTTGCTCTTTACAAGGGCCAAAGGCAAATGCAGCAGAAATTGAAGAAAATGCGTAGACCGCGGTGAGATTAAGGACTTTTCTTCGACCGTCAAGGAGGTCTGTTGCTGTCAAACCAACAGAACCGTACCGCTGCTCATCTCAAATCGTCCAATCGTGCCGTCGATAAAGGCGCACATATTCTGGGGGTGCTTGACCGGGCGCTACTGGGTCGTCCAATGACAGCTTGCTTCAGGGGAACTGGGTGCTTACCGCGATTGTCCGCTTCCCCTGCAAGAAATGGTCAGGGCAGTGCAAAAACTGTCTAGCTGAAAAGCTCCAAACTTCCACCTGTCTATAGCAGCATTTTGCACACACTGTGAGTCTCGGCTTCTGAACGACCTGACTTCTGCAAGATTTTGAGGTTCCAATCACTGTTAATCTGTACAGGCGAAAAGGTACTTGTCGTTTGTGTGAAAATTGCTGCGAAATCTACCTCCCTCCCTCCCCCCAACAAGAAAATATGCTCACGTTTTTATTAATTGCCTTATAACACATGCACCTAGCTAGAATGCTAGTGGACGCCTACCGAGGGAGTCGCACAAACACATGTCAACTGTCGAACCGACGTTTCAGTTTCAGTTTATTTGGTGAGGATAATAGGCAATGCCTTTGAAAACCCTATTTAACGTGTGCAGCACCCTATAAAAATTTACCACTACTAACATAATATTGGCAAACAGTGAGTAGCATCATAAAAATTTACCACTACTAACATAGTATTGGCAAACAGTGAGTATCATTGTTTTTACAATATATGTCTGGTTTTTAGAATTCAGACTGGGAGGGAAG